AAGGCTGTAGAGATCTTGCTTGAGGATTGATTCCAACCTAGGATTTGGTGGATCTATAACTTGAGGGTGATCAGGTTCTTTTGATTGTTTTTCTATGGACGTGGTTTGCTGAACCAACTGCTAGAGAGATGACCTCTGAGTTTGCTTGCTGGCTCTTTTTGTAGCTGGAAATCTATCACTATGCTGACGGGAAGGCATTGTGACCTTGAGCTGTCTCTTTACCTTCTCAGATCTTGGATGTCCAGATAAATCCCTGAAAATGGTTTTGGGTGGTGGTCTTCTACTCCATGTATATTTCAAAATTTTTGTTTGAAGAGTGGCTATGTCTGGTAAATAGTAAAGTGAGACAGGAATAATCTCACTTTGCAATTTACTATATAATTGTTCCCTAGATCTCCTTTTCCTTAATTCTCCTATCTGAACTTACCTATTGCTTAACACGAGTCTGTAGTTGCATATATCGGACTTAGATGGGTATGTTTGCTCCTTCTCCGGTGAATTTCTTCCACCCCAGCAGTGGCATGACAGACCTTTTGGCTTTCTTCCTTGGAAGTTGGCAAGAGGGAGCTCGACTTCCCTTCAGAAGTGTTTGGTGAGAGAAGCTGTGAGAATGGATGAAAACCTAAAATTGCTTTAGCTCAGTTTTCCTTGGAAAACTTCTGCCGATGCACTAGCATTAGCAGTAAGAATACCTAAAGCTGGCTGAATCCTTTCATTAATGGATCATTCTGTGCTTGTGCTGGTTGATTGTGTGTGTACTTTTTCCCCTTATTTCTTGCTGTGGGTTTGTTGTTTGGAAAATCTGAACCGTCATCCCACCCACCCACATTTTGGGGCCAAGTGCCTAATGCATCTGCGCATGCATGAATAAATAATACTCAATTTATTTGTTTAAAGTTATCCTGGTTCACCCAAAAACTCATTTTGCTTGCAGCCCTTTGAGTGAAAGTGCAAGAACAGTTGGTGCTGGATTAACTGCCCCTGCATCTCAATCTGGATACATGCCCATGGCTGATGTCTTTAAACTAGCAGTCTCCAGCTTCAAAGTCAATGATTGGAGCCTGTTTGGTTCTTCTGCTTGAATTCATATCTATTCATAGTTTGTATCAAATCTGCATTTCTGGAAATAAGGGAGATAAATTGCAGGGCCCAGTACTTCTTGGGAGTCTCCTGACTTAATGGCTAGTTTTTGTCAGGAATGTGTCCATCAACTTATGGCTAGAATCTCTCGAATGGGTCTATGAGAAGGGTTTGCAAAAAGCATTGTTAGATGATTTTCCTGCCGAGGCTAGTTGGCCTTGTTAGTTTTTCTTTCATCTGGTCGAGTTCTGTTATGCGGCATGCAATTCTGGTCAATATGTGTCGAAGGACAGCTGAACCTTGCATGCTGAACATAACACTATATCTTTGAGTCGCATTCTGGCGGCGGTGAACAATTAGTTTATTATGTGAATTGTCGAGCTTAAGACGGTGAACATATCTTGAGGACCCATATTTTGATAGAAGGGATAATGACAAATAGTCTTTGAACATTAGCCCAATGTGCAATGTGGTTCTCGAACTTTCAATTGTTCAGTGTGATCTTTGCGCTTTAGTCCAATGTGCAATGTGGTTCATGAACTTTTAATTTGTTCAATGTATTCCTTGAATTTTTAGTAAATGTTCAAACTAGTCCTTATAACTAATGTTATCATTTCATTAATTTAAGTTTAGGACAATATTAAACATTTTCATATGATCCAGGAACTAGTGTGAACATGTATCAAAAGTTTAAGGACCGAATTGAACAAATTTAAAGTTCAGGGACCACATTGTACATTCGGCTAAAGTCTAGAGACCACATTGAACAAATTAAAAGTTAAGGGACCTCATTACACATTAAGTCATAGTTCAATGGTCATTTATGTCATTTTCCCTTGAAAGGATAACTAAAAAGCTAATCTTCTCGGCATCTGAAGTGGTCGAACCTTGAAGAATATAGGGATCCATCCTTTCTCAAAAGGCTTCGAACTAAAAACGAGGGATCTTAGCCTAACCTCATAATACGATGGGAAAGTAGTGCATCTCCTTGTTATCGGAGAACTATATATGTCAACTGAATTGGTAATAGTTCTACAGAAAGCGGGAGGACGCTTTTTGAAGTATAACCGATTCTTGGTTCCTCTCGAGAGAGACCTGACAGTTCATATAAATTATCATGATGTCTGCTGCACGATCCATACTTCACAAAAACCAAAAATGTTTTCCTTCGGTGAAAGATCTTTCATTCGAGACTACTCTCGGCGAAATAGTGATGTATCCTAATTTCACGCATTGTCTATTATAGTTCGAATCCAAGAGGAAGTGGAAGATCCTAAGCTGTATGACGACGACCTATTCTTGACCCTATGGAGATGGTGGGGTCATGAAGATGCTGCTGATTCTTCATGTACGATGGCATGAATTCTTGGGTTTTTTTTTTTTTTCTCTTTTCTATCTTAAATGGTAAGAGGAAGTTGTCCTAAAGGTTTCGATTTATCTTTACACAAAAACAATCATGCGTTTCATTGTCAATCCCATCGTTCCCGAATTGAGCTTTGATATTATTGTTGTTGTTTTGCTATCGGTTCATAGTTGCAGTGTCGGGGCTGTCATGATCTAAGCTACTCTCTTGGCTGTTCCTCCGAGATCAAACATGGATATCCATGGAGCTTTGATATGGCAAAACCTATGTTAAATCAGAGGTGGCGGCGAAGAGTGCCAACACAGTTTGAAGATTCAGATGCAACATGTCCTCCAACATTTAAAGACATGCAGTGGAAGTAAGAGGCCATGGCTCCTTGGAGTGACTGGTTGTTTTTTTTTTTTTTGCTACGTGGAATCGTTTTTGGCTAGCTAATCAATAGTAGGCCGTATGTACGTGTATTTGTCAAGTCTTTTTAGGACGAGCGGATCAATCCTGCTCTTGTACAAGAGACGCTTCTTCATGTTATGTTTGGGAACTATCAAGCAACAATTTTTTGCATCATGCTAAGTTTTGTTTTCTGATTCGATTGAAGAGTGTCTATCCATATAGGAAAATCAGTAAAATTGTCCAATTAATTCTATATATATTGGATGGATGTCAATTCAGTCATAATTTTGTTAATTTTATCAATTTACCCCAAAATATTTGCGCAAAATTTTAATATAGTCATTTCGATCAATTTTCGGCGGAAATCACTAATATGGCAATGTGCCACGTTAGACGGATGGTAATGACTAGATCGAAAAAGGAATCTCTCTCTCACATACCCAACTAAACCAATCTACAGAGCCCCACTGACTGTCTTTGCAAGCACGACGTTGCCTCCAGCCACCCCACTCTCACATACCCGATTGTCGCACTATCCACCTAGAAGCCGTCGTCACCCCTCTCTCTTCCCCTCTCTTGTCATCTCCATCTCCACACGAACTCCCTCTCTCTGCTCACTAGTCCCATCAACATGCGCAACCACTCCCTCATCACCATCGACCGTTGCGCATCCAGACTCCTCCCTCGTCACTGTCGACCCCTTGCCCGAGTGTTCCAGAGTAGGAGAGAGAGAGAGAGTAGTTGGCCTTGGCAAATCCAAGGACATCCGTCCTTCATCGCGAGATGCTCACCCACGTTTCTTTGGGATAATGACACAAACAGTCTTTGAACTTTGACCCAATGTACAATTTGGTCCATGAACTTATAATTTGTTCAATGCAGTCCCTAAACTTTAGCTTAATATTCAATGTGGTCCATGAACTTTTGATTTGTTTAATGTGGTACCTGGACTTTTGATACATGTTCAATTTAGTCCCTGAATTATATGAAAATATTCAATGTAGTAAAGTTTAGGGATTACATTGAACAAATTATAAGTTCATGGATCAAATTGCACATTAAGCCAAAGTTCAGGGACTGTTTGTGTAATTTTCCCCATTTCTTTCTAAGATTCTTGTCAGGCGTAGCTTTTTTTGTCATCCCCAACTTATGTCATGTGTTTGTGGGATAGACATCTTCAGCAATTAGGGTGAATAGGGTGTGTGGTTACGCTCGAATGACCAACATGTCTCTAAGATATCACTTTCAAATTATTATATATGTTCTTTCTAACGGAACGATTCGTAGAGAGATGATCGCAATTCCATTGCCTCTAAAATCAATCTTTTCTAACTACATCATCATCTGCTTCGTCATTCACAAGGTATTTGAGAAATTACCGTTGGCCAGCAAACTTCTAAATACCCTTTTTATTTATGTAATACTAACCCTACAATGACAGTTGGGTTACATCTTATAATTCTTGTACTTCCGATCGTGAGTTTGCATTAGATACGTCAAAACCCCTCAAGGGTGGGTGCAGTTACCGTCGTCCTCTCCTTCAGTCTCCTTCTTGAGCTTCAATTTCATGCATGCACACGCCCATGTGTGCGTGCCTCTATATATGAGCAAACTTCGATTAACCCAAATGGATGGTGAGCTATATATCGTCATCAATCAAAAGCATACAATAAAAGTATATATGGATATTCATACATGTGTAAATCCTTAGGTGTCAAAGCACGTAATATCTCAGCAAGCAGCAAGAACAGTAAGAAATAACGAGCAAAAGGCGGGTGTCAATTCTTTGATGGCTTTTTTGGTCCATTATTGAGTCTAGGTTGGGGTTGTGGCCAAAAGGCGTGGACGAAGGCTCTCTCTCCTTTCCCATTTCAGTCTCCATTTTAATTAGGGTTTCTGATAGAAGTTGTGTGGGTAGAATTGAGTTGGGACATTGACGTTTGGCATGCGATGCTCATGTTATTTGTGCTTTTGTTTAACTCGGGATGCGAATTTCAAAGATCCATAATACATAAAATTTTCGTAGTTGCTGCATGTACTAATTGTGATAACGGACATGCATGCAATTGTCAATAATTATGACAATTCGATCTCGTACATGCATACAAATCCATTTTTCAATTCATGGAAAAAGTGGAAGGGAAAGGAGAAAACGATATAATTTATTAGAGACAACGTATATTACAAGGATTCGATTTAACAAGCCAAAACTAAGTGAAGTCCATGCTATGATTTCCCATACTTTTAACTTTCATTGTGAAGTGCGTCGTGCATGATTAGTATTTTGAAAATTGATACTTTCATTCTCTAAACAAACAAACGCTTCGAAAAACACACTCGTCAACACATTGTCTTGGGCGAGGGACAGCAGTAGGCGTGAGCTCATTGGCTTCCGTCGAGCCCCTACATTGAAGTGAATTGACATCCACATTCAGTCTTGAGCTTAGCAACGAGACTCCTCTCTGCGCCATCAGAAACAGTTTTTCCGGACAGAAGCCTTTCCGCCAAATGCTGTTCATAATACTTCTCAAACGCATCCTTTTCTCGCAAGTAGCGCAACAACATCACCACCTTATCAAGAATGACCTCCATGTCCTCCTTGCCGACGCCCTCCAAGCCTTTGCGTAGCTTATCGTCAACATACAACGAAATGAATTCGGGAGAACGAGCATTCAAGTTGATGAGGTATTCAAAGGATGAATTCAAAGCATTCTGGAACGTCTGATCGTTGTTAAACGCAGAACTTATGATCTTATCATACTTATCCTTTTCATCCAATAGCCACTGAACAAACTCAACCGGGTCTTTCAACCTCTCGGGATCAGTAATAAACTGCTTGCCAATGTCCCTTATATGAGAAGTCATCACGTCTCGAACAGTCGAGAGACCATTGGGGACCCGACGAAACAAGTTGTACATCCTTCCTAAGTCTTCATACTTATTGTCACAAAGCATGCTCACCAAGCCCGAATTCTCCATGTGCACCAATTTCAGCATGTTATTTGCCATCATCTCCTTCTCCACGGCATTTGTAATCTTAACTTCACTCTTGGCGTCCAATGAGTGTGTTACCCTCTCCATTTCTTCATTTCGACGCCTCTCAGCATCCTTCAGATACTCGCCAGAATCGCAACACTCGATAAACTTCTGGGATTCGCCTTTGTAAAACAAGGCTGAAACCTCCAGAAATGGCACAAACTCAGCTGAAACGTCCGGAAATGGCTGTTCGGATTCTTCTCGACAAACTGAATAACCTAAATCCATCAGCATTTTAGTGATGTTCCTCATCAACCCCCGATTGATGACCACGCCAGTCCGTTCTGTAAGTACTAGTTCTAGTAATGTATCTAGAAGCCTAGTGCGGATCTTGCTGGAGTAGATAACATTATCCCTCCAAAGAATCAACCCAAGCTCATGAACTGGGGCTTTACGGGTACTTGGGACGAAAGTTCTATCCATGTACATGAGAATGTCCATGATTATTTTCAGTGCTTTTATATGATCGTTCCATTTCCTGTTTAGTTCCTCCAGAAACAAACCTCCTTGGGCATCTTCAATGGATTTCGATATTTCCTCAAGGTGAGCAGTCATGGTTTTCGCCAATCCAGAGTACAGCTTCTCACCAAACTTGTGCAGAACCATGTTGAAGGCGTGCCTATATATGAAGAAACATCAAAACATTATGATCTCACAACTCTACGACTGTCACCCACAGAAAACGCAACTCAATACCGACACATAAAAGAGGAAGGGCCGCAGATGAATTAGCACCTTGATGCTTATTACGAAACAACACCAAACCGATCGGCATTGGACCCATACAAAAGGGAGTTTCTTAATCCAATCAGATGGCCGCAGCCTCGACTGAAAATATCTTTGCTAATCGTACTCAATAAAAGATAACACGACGAAATCCATACCTCCTTTCCAAGTGCAACTCAGTGTATCGTAAACCAAAGAAGTACTTCCCCAACAGAACAGCTAAAACAAATGAAGAACATAGCTCTGTTCTAAGAAGCTTATTTTTTACATACGTCTAACCAAGGAAAAAGACACCATGAAGAACAACCAAAGGTCAAATAAACGAGTAAAAACAAAGTCAATATTGCATCAACGAGCAAAAACACTTGTCTACAGTAATAGGACATGAAGGGCTTGAAAATATAAACGAGGACAGCCACGATCGTTCGATCAACCGATGAACTGGTCAGATTAGTTAAGTGTCGGAGTCACAAGACGAACATCAGATACAGAGACGGGACACGGCACAGCATTAGGCGCACAAAAGACAAAAAACACACACACACACACACTCTCATGACAGAACCAGAATGGACAGATACATCAAAAAGGCGAGAGAAATTTCAAGAGAGAAAGAGATAGAGCGAGCCTGTAGAGGTCTTCAAAGCGGATGCTACTGGCATTGTCATTGTAAATCTCGTGGATAGCGTGCTCCAGGATCTTCCACGTCTTGTCGGCGTACTTGGGATCCACCACCTTCTTGTGCTTGAACGCCTCTATCTGGAAGTTCCTCTTCTTCTGCGGATCGCTCATCTTAACCCGCCCGGAAAGTCGACGAAGCCTCCGCGCGCTAATCCCGGCGAAAGCAAGGTGAGAAAACCAGACCCAATTGCGAGATTTGGACGACGACCCCTGAAATGGAGAAAAGTTTCAATTGAAATAGAGGATGGGGATTGCGACAGAAGAGAGAGCGAGAGAGAACGAAGAGAAGCTCTTTGGTGAGTCTGTGCTTCCTGAGAGAGATGATTTCGAACAGGGTCGCGGTATTCCCAGCCTAGTTTTGACTTTGACTTTGACACTTTCAAAAGCGGTGTTTCTTTTACCCTTTTGCCCCTTTAGATCAAAATTTCCTGCCTTATTATTATTATTTGTTAATTTTTTCTTTTCTTACGGGTCCCATGTCCCTCCCTCCTCCTCCTTTCCTTCCTCTTCTTCTTTTCTGCCTTCGTGGGACAAGGAAGCTCTAGCTCTTCTAGCTCCCACTTGCATTCACATTCATTTTCTTCTTTCTCTTCTTCATGCTCAGGAACGGGTCCCGCGTCCCTCCTCCTTCCTTTCCTTTCCTTTTCTTCCTCTGTTCTCTTTATTCTCTGCCCCATCGTCATCGTCTCCGTCCTCGTCCTCATCACGCGCCGCCCGCGCGATCAACTGGCGATCCGGGTAGCTGGCGCGCCTAAGCCCATTCAGCGGTTCAGGTCGCGGGGTCGGTCTCCCGTAGCCGGTGGTGGGCGGAAGAGAAGTTCGCCGGCCGTCAAGGCGTCGTGGGAGAGAGGTTGAGGAGCTGGAGTTTTCCTTGACCGTTATCGTCCAAGGTTCTGCAGAAAAGAAAAGGAAGGAGGAGGAACGTGGGACCAGAAAGAAAAATAAGAAAAAGGAATAAATAATAAAAAAGGGTGGAAAATTTGACCAAAGCACGTAAGACCAATGGGCCAAAATGGTAGAAATATTGTTTTTGGGAGTGTCAAAGTCTATACCGGAGTGGAAATAAGCGCGTTCCTTCGAATGAATGAAGGATTTTCCACGTCTTGACTCGCTTTCTTTCACTCAAATAACTTGCGAGGACAGGTTTTCTGGTTCTTTGGGCCTCTGCGTGCATGAACTCAGTGAAAACCATATCGATTGCTGCCGCCCCCAATCATTTTGAATTGGCCATGTTATCTTTTACGGGTCTCGTTTTAACACAGACATTGGTGCATGTAAACATTGTAAACGCACGGCGTGATATGTCCATTTGAGTGTCAGTAGTTGTGCAACCTGCGATGCCCACATTATTCACTTTTTCTTTTTTTTGGTCAAAGCGATTGCTTTTGTTTCATATTAAGTAGTGTTCTTGGAACAACAAAGACGAGCCCCCCATCAAAGGATAGCCCAAAAGGTTGGGAGTGGGTTAGAAAACCACTTACCAGGAAGGGCTAGGCCCAGTCTGCCAATTGATTGGCCTCGCGGTAATGGTGGACGACTTGGACTTCAAGGAAATGGGGCAGACGTGATTTGCTCTCTTCAAGGGAGAATTCCAAATAAGGATATGAAATGGGGTTGTTTTTTCAAAAGAGAGTTCAGAGCGGATATTATTTCAAATAAGGGTCTGAAGTGGCTAATTAGTTTCAAATAAGGGATCGAACTTGCCGGTCGACCAAATGTTCTTCGCTGGCGAGCAAGTGATATTTTCGGCGACCGGAATAGGGACACTTTTGTCCAAAAAATTTTTTAAATAAAAAATTGCAATTCCTAAGATTTAAAAAAAAGCCCAAATTGCTTTGTCTCTTTTTCTTCCCATCTTCTTTGTTTTCACGGTCAGAGTTGCAATCCAAGAAAAGAGCCACTCTCTTGATATTTCACAAAAACCCAAATTGCTTTGTTTCTGTTTCTTCCCATTCAGGACTCCCATCATAATCATGAATGTTGAGTGAAGGAGTAAATGAATTATCTTTCTTATCATGATATGTCGATGTATGTCGATAACACATTGCATGAGATTATTCCCTCAAATGCAAGTAGATGACATAACATATTATGATGCATGGCTGCCACCAACTATGCACGTGTGAATATATGCATTTATACATACACATAGACGTGCATCATATTTATTATTAGCATATCATTCCATTCCGACTCCCAGGGCATCCCTAACTCCGGAGCATCTCCACATTGAGGTATTGCGAAACACTCCATCACGGGGCATCCCAACTCATGAGGTATCTCGACTCCGAGGTATCGTCGCCACTAATATGTGGGCAGTGGCATTTACTTTTCATAATACTTTCCATATTTAATCGCATAGCAAAAATGCACATGATAATATGATTACCCTTGCACCAACAATGAAATCAACACTCGTTTCAAGAATCAACATCAAATACACACATCTTTTCATGTAAATCATTTCCATCATACGATTACCTTGCCTTTTCAATGATCTCATACTGACATGCGTACCTCCTTTCGTATCTCATGCATGCAATAATAACATACATAGAGAATCAACAACTTGAACATCGGCAACTCAAATAATAGACAACCTAAATATCGACAACTCAAAAAATCGATCACGTAATTAATTGACAATACTTAGCTAGTACATTGGTGAGATGATTAGTAATCCAACACAAAATCATGTGAATATCCTTGTCAAGTCTAAATTTCACGTTTTTACGCTTTTTCATATAGTATACAACCAAACCTTTTGCGAAGTCGATCAAACACTTTATATGCATGACAATATTATAGATTCAACTCAAATAAACACAATTACTCAACATGCTATAATCAAAGCTTGATCACACTCATGATTAACATTCAAACTAAGTTAATAAAAATCAACCAGCCAAGTCAAGAGAACTAAGTAGATCAATCTAACTTAGTCCCTAGAGTTTTCACTTACCACAAATAAAGACTTGGACAACCCAAAGCCTTAACCACCTCGTAATTCTTGAAAGATAGTATTTTTAAGCTTTGACAACATTAGAATGAAATCTTTCTTTTCACTCAAAAGATTGAAAAGTGAAGCTAAAAGAGAAAAGTGATGGAAGATCTTTTTAAGAACAAGTTGGAATTCTTTTTGGAAGCTTAAAGACATGCGGAGGTCTACCAAACCAAAGTTAAAAGTAATGATAACTTTGGTTTAAAATCATTATATCATAGAATAGAAGGGTATGTATTCCAATAGAAATGCTTCAAGTGGACCTAAGTAGGTAGCTATGATATAAGTGGCCTCATAAGATTATTTAGAGAAAGATATTTTGATTCAAATGAATTACGACTTCTTCTTGGTCAAGTAAATGAGTGAGTCATCAATGCATTAATGTGCTAAAGTTATCATGAATGGTATAATGCATGATATCATTACTAAGCTAAGTTCAATGTCTTAATTTAAAAGCATGTGAGTTATTATTTGAGTGACAAATAGAAAGATGAAGATACTTGATTGGAAAGAGAGAAAACAAAACATCACTGAGGATGCATTATTTGAGTTGTAGTCATTCAAGCATTAATGATAGAGATAAAGAAGACATTGACTTGTGTTTCTCATGAGTTAAAAAACAATGAATATTAGTTAGCTAAGGTTAAAAGCCATGATGACATTGGGCTTAATAACACTTGGTAGACAATGAGAGAGATATATACAAATTCCAAGATTACAAGTGACACAATTTGAGTAGATAAATGAAGATAATGATTATAAAGAGCATAAGATCACCCAAATAAATGCATGAATAAGAATCAGTATGTGATTTATAATCATTGAAGCAAAGGGCAAGGTCATGCATAATGTAATTCCATAGGTGAAACTTATTGTTGAAAATGAGAGAGATGTGATACAATGACTGATGACTCTTGGCTTGAAAGCTTAAGGGAGAAGAACAATAGAAGTGCCAAAACTTGTGTATGGCGCTCACTTTAGTGTCAAAAGTTTTTTTTGGATCACTTCAGTGTCAAAATTTTTAAAAACGATAACTTAAGTGCCAACTTCGATTAGTTTGGCCGGAAATTCGACGTGACATTTTTTTTTATTAATTTCTGAAGTTGATGTGGCTCGCCGAAGGTCTAGTTAGCATGTACACATCGAAATGATGTAGTTTAGCATCTACACTTGGATTTTTTAAATATTTTTTCTGATTTTTTTTCCTTCTTTCTTTCTTTTCTTTTCTTTCCTCTTCTTCTACCTCTGATCATCGGAGGCCGGCCACTGGCCAGCCACTTGGCCTCACTTGGACGAGGCCACCGTCGCCTGCCACAGGCAAGGGCCGGCCTCGCCTCGCCTGGGCGAGGGCGGCCGTCGCCCAGGCCATGGCGGCCTCGCCGAGGCTCGCCCTTGCCCAGGCGAGGGCTCCCCTCACCAGATCCGGCGAGGGCACCGTGGCTTGGGCGACAGCTACCCTTTCCGGATCCGGCGAGGCTCGGCCTTGCCCAGGCCCTGGCTAGGCGAGGCAGACCCTCGCCAGATCCGACGAGGTCGGTCGTCACCGGGCATCGCTCGGGGGAAGGCAACGCTCGGTGAGGCGAGGCTGACCCTCGCCGGGGCTCGCCCGCCCGCCCTTGCCCAGACAAGGGTAGGCCGGGCCTTGCCTATGGCGGGCGATGATGGCCTCATTCGGGCGAGGCCAGGCGGCTGGCCGTGGCCGGCCTCCGGTCACTGCCGGTGACCGGAGGTAGAAGAAGAAGAAAGAGAAGAAAAAAAGAAAAGAAGGAAAAAAATTCAGAAAAAAATATTTAAAAAATCCAAATATACATATGGAAATGCCACGTAGACTTATTTTTTTAAATATCCAACTCAGATTAAAATTTTAATTATAAAAGTCACGTATTAATTTGGCTGGAATTTCTCGCCGTTGGCACTTAAGTGATCATTTTTCCTCCGATTTGGCACTTAAGTGAGCTGGCGAAAACTTTTGACACTAAAGTGAGCGCCATACATAATTTTTGACACTTATAGTGTTCTTCTCCCAAAGCTTAAAGAGCAATAATGAACCAAAGATGTGTTCAAACAGAAAAGTTACAAGTGGTATAATCATATGGTTCCAAAGTAAATATTTTGATAAGTTACCAAGA